TTCAGGTACCTCATTATATCACTAGCTATCGCCGATTTAATAGTCGGTTTGGTAGTAATGCCATTGAATTCTTTATTCGAAATGGCTAATCACGAATGGTTACTGGGTAAGTTTCACACCTACAAAGCTTACTTTAACTTCTTATCTTAATTACCAATCTTTTTATTGTCAGTTAACTCAGCAATCTTGTAAACTTTGAAGCCTTACAAACTCCCCAACAAAACTACTTTCTACTGCAGCACTTGAAGTTGTATAACGGCCTACCCAGTTTTTTTTCTCAAAAACGGTCATGAAGAGAAGTGATGTATCGTTTGTTTCACTCAATCAATAGGAATAGCAAGAAATCGAGGAGAGTGAGTGGGTGCTCAAGAACTACCGTAATTTTGGCGCTCGCTATTCCCTCTTGCACTAGCGGGGAATATGAAAAAAACATCTTTCGAATTTATGCATTCTAGTATGGGTTACATAGTTTTAGAAATAGTAGTATTGTCCGCTGTAGAAACATTCTCGAACGTGCAGTCCTTCGTTCTTACCCCATAACACTCTCTTTTACGGATTTCTTTTTATCTTGAATGAATCTCTTCGAGTACTTCCTCATTATTTCCGCTACTATTACTGCTACTACTGGTAGAACTCGAAGATTTTCTGAAGGCTTTTTGTCGAAGGCCCTGCTTACCTTTTCCCACTACTCGTTACTACAGATGCTGATCGAAATAAACTCCTCGGAGCTAGCAGATCGCGCCGAAGGTTCGTCACGAACTTAGTTTACCTTGTTCACGAACATCGCATCCGCTCGTCACGAGAAAGCCCGGCGCCCGCGTCGGCACGTTTTGGCGCTGGCCCCGAAACGGAGGTAGCGCACGTTCCGCACCAAGGCTGTGTGATGTTCTGGTTGATGATTTGGGGGTCCGTGTCTTTTTTTTCGCGATGAGCCGATGCCAGTGAGCTCAGGTCGTACGATCTCCAGAGACTGATTTTACTCTAATCCTTCTCCAGGGTGAATTACCGGTCGAAATCTAGCCTGGCCTTTGAAAGGAGGTGCAATGAGGAGCTAAGCAAAATAAAAAAAAAAAAAAAAATTGGAATTACCGGTCCTTATATAAAAAGTAAAATCGAGTCATGAGGAAGTATGTTAAAATTGCTGTTCTTCTAGGGCTAACGATGTGTGATTTGTTCCACGCATTAGATATCTTGGCATCAACAAGTTCGATCTGGAACCTTTGTGTGATCAGCCTCGACAGGTACGATTCTAATATTCATGCAAAAATATTGGAGAAAATTCCTGATTTTTTTGAACGCAGAACCGTTAAGTGCAATGTGAAGATTAGGTTAGCGTCAAGGTGGTGACACGTTCCTGAAGCAGCGTTCAGAGTTCGCGATAACACGCGTCTACACGTTATCCTTGCAACGACGCTTCAGTGCTACAGAGGGGACGTAGCCATAGGCGTGTATCGATCGGCGCCGACCCCTACTGTTTTGAGAGAGTATGGTAGAGCTGGGGGTATCAGACTTCGCGATTAGGGCGCGTTCCCTGCTATTCTCCCGCACTCTCACAAAACAGTAGTAACGGTCGGCACCGATCGATACCTATGTGTAGCACTGAACCGCGTAGCGAGTCGTCTGACGTCGGTTGGAAGTCTGAACGCTGCCCAATACGCAATGAGCTTCTAAAGATTTCCACGATCAAAATAATTAATCTGTGGAATTATTTCTTTTATGTGACTAGTAGGTGATCACATGCTTCACAAGCTTATCGATTACTTGCTTCAAGATACATGAGCTGGGCCAAGATCCCATAGGATATCGTGATAAAGTCTCGAAACGACGTATTTTGATGGCTATTTGTGGCGTATGGATGATGTCCGCTTGTTTGTCATTCCCAGCTATTATTTGGTGGCGGACCACATCACCTCATTTGTATGAACATAAGGTAAAAAAATTATTTGCAGAATTTCGCATCTTAATTGTGATGAGCAGAGTTGATTAGCCCCTCTCGGCAGCAGCCCAACGTCATACGTTCAGGAAGACAGGCGCTATAAGGCACCCCAAATATTGCCCGTGTAAATCAAATGTATCCATTCCGTTAATACACAATATTGGGCGTGCCGTAGGCCGAGGAAAGGAAGCTCCGGCGAGAGGCGAGGAAGTAGGATCGTTGCTACTCTCCACTCGTAGGAGTGTGCTGCCTAGGCGAAAACCGGGAGGGGACAGCTGCTCGTCCTGAGCGCTTAATTTTACGCGCAGTTTTAGATACTGTATCCCACTCGTCTCCATCAATGCTCTATTAAGAATCGTAGTGCCTCACTGAACGCGATGTTGCCGATATAGTGGCTTTGGGAGGGGGGGGGGACTGGCAAGAGAATGTAAGTACCGCTTCGTCGCGCGCGGCAATGGGCGCGACGTTTCCTTAATTTGCACTACCCTTTCGATTGGAGCATCGGATTTCATGTAGACAAGGACATGGTAGACACTTGTCCATTTTTGACCATACATTGTTTATTCTCGACTAATACCACCTAAAATTGTCATCAACAGCGGTGTCGATGTCGCATGCGACGCCCGCTGGCGGGGCGACTTACGATTCTCTTGGCACATACCAGGGGGACGTGCAGCGTACACGTCACTGTTTCTATCCTACCGGACTAATCTGGCACCCGTTACCATTGGCGGAGTGTAGAAGGTCGTCACTTGGCGCTATTCTAACTCTGAGCCCAGGAGAAGGAGTGGCTCCCTTCCCGCCACGGCCAGTGCTCTAGATTAACGCCAGTGCAGAAATAATCCCGGATTCTTATTCAGGGTTCAGCTAACCTCGTATAACACGTTCTCATCGATTTTCGTTAGAAAGGTGGGTATTGCCAAATTGGCTCCAAATGCGCCGCCGTTGAAGACGAATGCTATATTCTCAATCCGCATGTCGGATAACCACCGCATACAAGTTTTCATCCATTTTGATGGAAAGAGTGGTGGCACCAAATTGGCGCCTATCACCGCTAAATGGCGCCCGAGCAAACAAACGAATGCCATGTTCGTGAAATTACTAGTTACCTACACTCGAGATCCCTGAGATCGGGTAGGCGTGGCCGCATGTTTCAACTTATCCTTAAGGCGTCTACGCTTCTGATGCGATTGTTTCCAGACTGGAGTATTCCACTAGTAACCAGTTCCGTTACAGTGTTCTACCCGATCTCAGGGATTTCGAGTATATTTACCCTCATAGGCAAAATTTCAACGACTTAACCTCATGGCAAAATCTTCAAGACGTAACAATAATTTTTGGTGCCGAAATGTTGGAGTTGTGTTGGTTTTTTCAGTCTGAATGCAGCTTATTTTTTTTCATAACAAGGTGGAAAACAATTTTTCCAATTGCATTTGTTTTCATGTTTAATCAAAAAATGAATATTTTAGAATAAATGTTTGTTCACTGATAGCGCCATGTATGTTGGTTTCTCTTCGCTAGTATCATTTTATATTCCACTATGTTTGATATTGTTCGCTTACGGTAAAGTATTTGTGATTGCTACACGACATTCACGTGGAATGCGAATGGGAATGAAGAAGGTGAACTAATTTATAAATTATTTGTGATTTTGATATCACTGTACCTAGAAGAAATGGCTTCTCACTGGAGGACAAAACCAGTTTCCCAGGGAGCAATCTGTTTGAAGGGCTAAAGAAAAAAAACAACGAAAATGATAATTGAATCAAGCAAGTAAACCAAAAAGACTCGAAACGTATGTGTCTTAATATTTAAACAGCGCTTCGCCGCGGCCGTGTACAACTCGGAGTACACGAAAAACTCGCTTTCGGCGAATCGTGTACTCCGAGAGTACACGCGCTCTCTGTTTTTTTTGTTGGTATTTTCGGTTCTTTTTCCTAAACCGTTGGGCTATAAATAATAATCAAACAATAGAGAAATAATATCCACACATTAGAAGAGGCGTGTATACCTGCGAAATATTCAAAAACTTTCCTCTTTAGGCGAATCGTGCATTCTTGGGAGTACATGCGCCTGTTCTCTCGTTTTTTTGATGTTTTTTTTCTTCTTTTCACTGGCAATTATGAACAAATCATAAAATAAATATACAAGTAATACTAAGAACATTTCTCGTGTATTTTTCGAAACCAGGTTAGGCAGTAGTGGTTTTTACAAGAGGAACTACGAACTTTCACAAGAATCAAAGTCTACATCTTCTTTGTGCGTCAGGGTACAGGCATTGGGATGTGCAAAAGGTCGTGTGAGTTACGACCCTTCCTCCCCGACGACCCCCTCCTCCGCCGCCACGGCTTCCTCGCGACGGCGAGCGATGAGTTATATAGTGGTATTATAGTCGGCGAAAAAGCTTGTCGAGTCGAGAGGAGGTATACACACAGTTACTATGCAACGTATATCCCACGGGCGTACAAAATGCATATAGTGCATATAAAAAAATTAATACGACCCCCCCTTTCCACAAGAAAAAATCAACTATCAAAATAAATTTGTCTTCCAAATACGACCCCCCCCTCCCCAGAGCAAAAGTACGACCCCCCCCATGGGTTTGACACAACGATGCCCCTGTTTGTGGTACCGACGAACATCAAAAAGGCAAGAGAGCCTGGTTCACTTACGAAACTTTAGAATAAAACTTGTAGAAGGGAAAAATGTAGAAAGACTGGCGAAAAACGGCTTCCGTGAATTTTTAGGCGTTTATGGTTCCGTCGCGAGCGCGCAACCATGAACGGGATGACTGCCTAAGTGTCGCCCGCCGCGAACGCGTCGCTCGACAAACGGGAGTTTTTGACGAAACGGCGCCGCCGCGTTAATATTATATCAATATAATATTAATATTAGTCTGAAAACGGGTTTGCTAAGTAACTAGGAATTCGTCGAAGTGCCAATTAAAAAAAGGAGACTGGGTTATACATATAGTTGGAGGATGAAAGAAAGTGAAATATACCTAAATTTGTCTGCTCAGTTCTCTCTACTCCATATCATAGTAATTACACCTCTTTTGCTCTTGTTGGTGCTGATTCCCCTTTAAGGTAAACGGATCCTGGCGTACGTAGGACCCAGCTATTTGATTCCGTCTCCCTTCGTGAGCATTTAAATGAGCTGCGCAGTTATTTGAGGTCCCCATTAACATCACCGTTCTTCTGCCAACATGTGGCTAGGGCACGAGTCTTCTTCAGCCATTGATTCCTTGCTCGATATCCTGAGGGGTTTTGGAGATTCCGCTCTTAAAATGGAAGTATAGGTATGAAGGTAGTTGTGAGCGGGACATGAAGAGTACTATGAATAGAGAAGGGTAATCCAGCCGTTGGTACTGGTTCATTATTCGTCGTTTTTGCAATGTGTGGTCTAGCGATGTCATGTTGGAAGTGTATTTTGGCTTGCTGTCCATGTGCATTTTCAAGCTCAGCTGCTCAGTTGCCGTAATTGATTGAGGTAGATGTTGCCGACCTCCGCAGTACCCTGTCGATCACAGCAGTACCCTCACCCAGTGAACCACAGTCTTCTAATTCTCCTAACCTCCACCAAGGTAGAGAGAGCATCTCTTTTTGCAAACCACGTGCGTTTATTGCATTGATCAGCCAAGTCAAGACAGGCGCAGTTTGTCGACGGGGGGGGCATTCTGCTTTCCATAGATGTGCCGACCCATCTAGGTAGCCTTTTCTCGAGTTGACACGTTTTAGGATGGTGGCTAGACTATCTTGCACCAGCTTCACAAGGGTTCACAAGTTTTACCAGGGTGAGATTTGTAAACCGGAACTAGGGAAGCAATGGTAGTACAAAATGCCCCCCCCCCGTCGACAAACAGCGCCTCAAAGACATGACAGTGGAGGTTGAAGGAACGGTCTGCTATGGTTTATGCAAATGCAAAAGATAGTGTGGGAAGGGTAGTGTGGTTCGCAGTGGACAACCGTATGCTAGTTTCGCGGCAAAGTCGTGAAGAAGGCGCAAAATTGCTCCAGTGACACCTCCCTTCGTCCAGTGACTCCGCCTTCAGACCTGCCTAAAGTTCGCCTTCCAGCCGAAAGCGGTGCTATCGGACAAGTAATATGAGTTGGATGCTTCACTGTCTCTTGGGGAGGGGGGGGGGGTCACAGGGTTCATTACAAGGAGTCAGCTGCCTGAACTCGTCCCAACACGCGGACTTGTGACCTTCCACCCAAACAATAGCTTGAGGCTGAGTGGGCCTTATTAGAGGTGTTTCCGGCCTTCACTTTCAACTGACAAGTTCTCTTCCATATTTCAAGACCGCTACCCATGCTCCTTATCGCGGGCCGTGCTTCCACATTCCCATTGACAACTTCATCAAACCACTCGTGAGGCTGATGCTGCTTGAGGGAGAAGAACCGTGGCGCGATATCGATGTGCGTTTCATGTCGGGCAAGATTAACGCGTGGTCCTTTTCAGGACCTGCGGTCTTCAAATTATGCTGCAGCCGCAAGTAGCGCCAATTTTTACTGAGATTCCGCGCGCAGTTTGTTACGGATCTGTTTTCGACTGATTTTGTTGCAAGTTCAAACCCATCGTCACTGGACCTCCCATTTTCTATAGAGTAGTCACCTTTTTATATGTAGGAATCCAAACAGGTATGTGTCGACGGCGGTATTCTCTTTGTATACTTCCCCGGATGGACCAAGAGATCCAATATTATTCAGAGCAGATCAGTGCAGGAAAAGGCGAATGTCTTTTTGATAGCCATTAGTTATTTCCTTTATCTATCGAATCCTTCCCCACATGTCCCATTTATGTGCTAAAAATGCACCCGCAAACGTACCAAGATTTTCTTGTCAACATAAATTATTCCAAGAGCTGTCAGAGCTGCAAGAATTCTATTCGTCTTTGGATTACCCTGGAATGCAAGAGCAAATAAAATTGTTCCCAGATGTTCTGAGCCAGGGAAAGCTTTCCATCCTATGAAAACGGCTAATGGTTCAACAACAAAGTGATCTTCATAAACCAGTTTGATAGGAGTTTATATCGCCTTTCTTCCATTTGAG